ACTCATTGCCTCCTTTCCTGCATTCTAGTCGTTAAGTAATGGCTCCAAGCCAGAGAAACAAAGCAGCACATTCTTTTGAGTCCAGTGACCTCGAAAGTAGGAGCATGAATGTCTCTAATCAAAGGACTCCCCCCCCTTCACATTTCGGGTTATTTTTGCCTCTGCACCTCCCGCAATAATCAAAGCCTGTTATCTCGGTCTTGCAATATCTGTGATTCGAGTCTCGCCTGCGTCTGGCACATCCCGCAGCAGCTGCATGTGAAGGTGAGCAAACGGTGAGCTGCTCTCTCAACGTGCAGATCCCAGTCGCAACCACGTCTTTAACGCGCCAAGTTCTGCCTGCGGACAAGTGAAGGAAATAAGATGCGATCCCCCGCAGAGGCGATCTGTAAAGCGCATTTCGATTTGTGAGCCAGGGGCTTCGAGCGATGCATTGCTCATTCTTTCGAGTCCCTTGGATAGCAAGTATTTGTTTGAAAATGTACTAGCCAGGGTCTACGCCAGTCTTCAGACCCTCCAAAGACTCAGGGAAAAGTGCTCAGAGGAGTCCGGTCGTGGGAAAGCCTTCCTTCCATGACCCGCTCAGGCCGCCGGCTCGGAATCGGGGTACGATTGCTTCCGGGGGCCGTGTCAATTTGAGGTGATGTTTATGCACTCGATCTCCAAAATGCACTCCTTAGGGTGAGACCCGAAGGGTTCAGGGCTTTGGACGACTCTTTCCAGAGGGAGAGGGAATGGAAGATTCTTGCTTGCTATGTTAGTGCCCTGGGCTGGCAGCATTCCGCCCTTTAGGATACTTACAGTAAGGGCGCATGAGTGTGGACTGCAGGGGACAGGAGTGAGTCTGGCTTTCTGAGACACAGGAAACTCCATGTGGCTACTTTCTTGAGAGTCTCGGAAGCAGACCTGGATTTTGAGGCCATGTCTATTAAAACGGCTCGGCCCTGCTATTAAAGTGGCTGCAGGGTCACTGGTACCAGAGGGTGTGGACTGAGGCAGAGAGGCCTGGGTTGGACCGGGCTCTGCCCTTCTGCCCACTGCGTGGCCCGCGCCTGGTCACCCAGCCACTCTGAGCCTCAGTTCTCCCACCTGCACAGAGGATGATCTTGTCTGTCTCTTAGGGTAATGGGGGCCCGATGAGATGGGAGCTGGAAGCACTAGTTCCCACCACGTGGTCGGTGGCCAGACACTGAGCCACCAGCAGGCACCTGTCAAATGGGCTCAGGCCTTTGCCTTCAGTGATGACCCCTCCTGCGCCTCACCAGGCCCCCGGCGCCTCCATGCATTGGCCCAGGTGAGCCGCTACCTGAGTAGGCGGAGCCCTGGAACCTCACCCCTGGACCGAGCTGGTCCGCAGTCATCCTGTCTGGAGGGTGGAGTTGGCAGATGGCATTAGAGCCAGCGTGTGGGCACCGGCTCCCTTCCCGTGGGCTTGCAAAGGGCTGGGACCTGTACTGAGTGCCACTTCCTACACTGCGATTCATGCAGGAGGTCACAGCGGCGGAGAGCCAGGGCTCCGGGCCAGGCTGCCGGCTGAAGCCTAAGTCCACTACCCCTCCTAGTGTGAGACTCTCTGGGCCTCAGTGGCTTCACCTGTGAAGTGGGCTAGTAGCGGTCTGTCTGACCACTTGGCTGGCATCTCCCCACTGTACCCATCACCTTCCTGAGCTGGACAGACTGCCCCCAGCCTGGTTCAGTTGTAAGTCAGACTTCCAGCAAGCGGGGGAGCGGGGGAACGGAGGCCTGCCTGCAACTCGGAACTCAACTCCCCGGGGGCTGCCTCTGTGAAAACGTATCTGTCCTAAAAGAATCGTCTCCAGCTCCTCATTAGTATGTGTAAACTGTATTTATGTTGCCATGTTTGGAATAAATTGAGGTGCCTAAAATATAAGTTTATTTTTCATGTTTCAACCAGCTGTTTTTTAAAAAATTGATTTCAGAGAGAGGAAGAGAGAGTGAGAGAGAGATAGAAACATCAATGATGAGAGAGACACTGGGCATTGAGCTGCAACCAAGGCATGTGCCCAGACCATGAATCAATCGTGACCTCCTGGTTCATGGGTTGATGTTCAACCATTGAGCCACACCAGCCGGGCTCAACCAGCTGTTTTTATATCTAGTAGACACAGCCACATTCATCCAATGGAAGCACACATGGACCCAGGAAAACACAATGAATGGCTTTAGAAATTAAAGATGAGTATTACTTTGTAAAAGTGATTATACACCAGAAATTAGGAAAGCTTTTGTATAATGAAAAATTACTTACTGGTTGTGGAACCGAAGTGTTTACAAACTCTTGTGTGTTAGGGATAAGGGAGAAAAAAGGAGGAAAACATTTAACTGTTGCAGGAGCTGCCCCCTTTTTCACAGTGAGCACTGGGTCTCCTGGTACAAATTTTAAAGCCCCACAGAGTTGTCCTTCGTCGACCTCTGCACCACACCTGAGAACCACCTGAGAGGTGTGGTGTGTGTTGGCATCAGGAAATTCTTCACCGAAGCCTTGAGCAAAGGGTTTCTCTGTTGAGCGCAAGCATAGACAAATCAAGAAGTGTTGCAGGTGGCCCAGCCATTGTGGCTCAGGGGTTGAGCATCGACCTATGAACCAGGAGATCATGGTTCGATTCCCAGTCAGGGCACATGCCTGGGGTGTGGGCTCGATCCCCAGTGGGGGGCGTGCAGGAGGCAGCCGATCAATGATTCTCTTTCATCATTGACGTTTCTCTCTCTCTCTCCCCCTCTCCCTTCCTCTCTGAAACCAATAAAAACATATGTTTATAAAGAAGAAGAGTTGCAGATGTAGAAAAGGAGAGGGTCCGGTGGAATACTGAGGTCAGAGCTCGTGGGCTGCTGAAGCCAGCACCTTTGTTTTGCTCTGTTCTTTCCCACCACGTTCACCCTGGCAACACACACGAACGAGCGAGAGAGACAGGGCAGGTGAGAAACCAGCTTGAGCACGTGCGGCTCAGACTGACACGGGCCCAGCTGCCAGTCTTCACCCATCGCGGAAGGAAAGTCCGCTCAGCAGAAGCCACAGAGCCGCCGAGGAGGTGGGGCTCTATTTCCTGCTGCCTCCTCGACAGGCAAGCTTCCCAGGCCAGCGGGGTGCGTGGGGACCAGCACCGCATGGTGATGGGATTAAGCCCTTGATGAATACAGCCTCCGATTGCAACCCCAGGGCCAAGCCACCAGGAGAACGAAACCCACTTTCCAAACAGGGCCCGAGGGGGTCTTGTTGCAAGAACTCCCCTCTACACGCGGAAACCTTTAACTCATAAAAGGACAAAGCGCTGGTTCCGGAAAAGCTTTGGGTAAAAAACCCACCCTGTGTGGGTCTCTGGGCTTTAAATTCAAAGCATGACTTGTGCAATGCCTGGGTTTCTGTGATGGAATAAAAGGTTTTCCTTTATGATATGTGGGGTTTCCACATGTTCGAAATCGTATTTTATGGTTTTTCCTTGTTTTTGTTTAAAATTAAGTGTGTGTGTGTGTGTGTGTGTGTGTGTGTGTGTGTGGGGGGGGGGACAGTCAAGAAGAAACAGCAACAGCAAACAAACAAAAGCCCGCGTTGATTAAGCGTAGTCAGCTCAAGAAAACACGCTTCATCCCGTGCCAAGTGACGCTTACGAAAATTGCAGCAATTTTTGATGCACTTGCCAATGTTTGTGTTATTTTTACTTTAAAGATGTAACAGATTGCCGCAGCATAAATAATTTAAGCCTCGTATTTCAGAAGCGTCCAAGCGCGTGTGTCTTTCGCTTCTGGCTTCTCTTCTGGGACGGAGCCCTGCCCAACAGAAGCAACCGCCGTGTCTCTAACACGCCATTTGGACTGTTGTTTTTTGGTGTTGAATCTATTTTTCGCCGTTCTGTTCCAAGCGCCACAGTTTCTGTCACTGTTCAGTGTGGAAGCGGTAACTCTCCTTCTACAGGAAGAAAGGGAATGAGCCCCAGAGCATTGACTTGTGATCTCGCAGGAACATCACCAGCTGGAAGGGGTGCGGGAGTGCTCGGGGAGAGACCCTAACCCAAGTCCCACAGGGGTCTGCCATTTCCACTCAGATTCATACTCAGACTTCAAGCCAGGAACAATGGGTCGCATTTTGCACACAGCGTCCTCAGTTTAACTTAAAAATAGCTTTAGACTTGGCAGATTGACTTCACACAAAATGATCCCATCCTCGATCAATTATTGGACTTCTCACTCTGTTGTGTGCCATTATGGTACAACTGAGAGAGAAGAAACATCTATGTTAAAAAAAAATCAAACGCCAATCTTTATGCTGCTCTATACTTCCTAAGTGTGGTTGAACAGCTTTTATAAACCGAAAACAAAGATCTATATATATATAAATCTATCTATATATATAAAAGGCTAATATGCTAAGTGTTCCTCCGCCTGTCCGACTGGTTGCTATGATGTGCACTGACCACCAGGGGGCAGATGTTCAGCACAGGAGCTGATATAAAAGGATATGCTAAGTGTTCCTCTGCCTGTCCAACTGGTTGCTATGATGCGTACTGACCACCAGGGGGCAGATGTTCAACACAGGAGCTGCCGAGCTGTAGTGACTTGGCAGCAGCAGTTCTCCCCGGGCGATTCCACCTTCGGCCGTGGGTTATGTTGTTGCTGGGCACTGTCAGCCCTGAATCTGGTTTACTGCACACTTGTGTTTGCATTCCACACCCTGTACAATAACAACTTTGCAGAGTGCACTCCGGGACCCCTCAGGGGATGTCGGAGAGCCAGTTTCAGCCCAATCCCCGCAGGCCAGGCAGAGGGACCCCACCTGCCAGAGGGACCCTGCACACTCTGCAGACACTGGGGAGAGGCCACGGGAGGTTGGCTCCAGGGCATTTTCAGCTGGTCTAGCCCAGTACCCCCCCCCACCCGCCACCTAATTAATTTCCTTTCAATGTGCACGAATCGGTGCACCAGGTCACTAGCACAATATAAAAATCCCAGAACAATAACGACAGCTTGTGTTCTATTTACTGCAGGCAGACATTCTGAGGTCCACCAGATGACCGGGAACTACATGTGGGACTCCAACAGCAATAAGTCATTTGACATCGGTGTCAACAAAGACAGCCTGATGCCTCTCTGGTGGAATGGATCAGAACCTCTGTGGGTCACCCTGACCAAAGCCAAAAGGAAGGTCCACATGTACTACTGGCCAGGTGAGTACATCCACCCACATCTCAAAACAACGTGGAGTCTCCAAAGACAAAGGATGCGGGTGACACATGTGAAGACCAGGCCAGGGTTTGGAAAATGAGATCTTTATTCAAGAAGGATTGCTTTTGAGCATGTTTGTATAAAAAATTGTTTTGAACTCTCTAACACCAGATCAGGCACGATGCCATTTCCAGATCCCCCTGGTTCAGCAATGCTGCTGTAATCTATCATGCCTTTTCCGGCGCTAAATCTTAGATACACACGAGAGATAGTCACAGCGTGCTTACTTGACTGGCAAGAGAATCTGGCATACCATTTCTTTAGATTTTGAGCTTCTCTATGGTGTTGAAAAGATGATTCAAAGCACTTACAACTGTCAGTAGTGTATTTAATGAAGCCCCTTGAAATAATAGTCAATGAAAAACTAAATTACTTTACTTACTGCGATGAGGTAAGTAACCATGCAAGCTACCCTGGCTTCTCTAAGGCGTCTTCAGGATTCTCTCATCTCAGCAGTCGAAAATCTTTCATTAAGGATGAGAGGACTCAGTGATAATCAACTTCGCATTGTCTTCCCACTGGTGGGATTTGTTCTCAGGTAAGTGTGCAATTTGACTTTCCCATGGGCATGGCTGTAGACACTGTCTTCCTAGTTCTTAACGGTGCAGTGCCGATGATTGCCACGTGGAAGAAGGTCTCAGGGAGGGTCTAGAAGAAATGAAGGGATAGAGAGGGAGAAGCGGACGAGGGGGTCTCGTTGGCTTGGGTTGGAGGGCAGCAGCGGCCCGATAGAATTGTGGGAGCATGGCGGGAGGTGGGGGACGGCGGCAGAGAGTGGAGAGGAGGATGAGTAAGCCGAGGCTGAATCACAGATGGCCCACACTGAGGGCGTGGCCTTCAGCAGGAGTTTGGAAGATGCTGGATGGAGGTGGTCACGTGGAGAGCTCTTCAGGGCACTCCAGGCTACGCCAGCTCTCGGAGGAGCGTAGAACACAAACAGATGGAGACGATGGAGAGCCATGCTGTGGCGAGTGCCCTGAGAGTGCCACAGAGCAGAGCTGGCATGTACAGGGGAGCGGTGAAGGCAGGAGCAGGCTGCATTCATCCAAAACTGGGCAGAAGGACAGGCAGACACAGTTTCAGGGGGAGCGCTAGAGTTTCCTCAGAAGACACCTGGGATTGTGTCCGTCGCAGCTCCCTTGGCTGATATGGTCAGAAGCTTTTGGGCAAGGGAGGGGCTTCAGAGAGCTCCATTACCGTTAAATGGAGACTCGACTTCTTCACGGAGTTGGATGTGAGATCAAGCAGACAAGACAGTGCATCGGCCGGGCGGATCAGACTTGCTGGAGGAGCCAAGCTCGTGGGTCAGCCCAATGAGGGGAGGTCTGAAGCCAAAAGCTTGTGCTGCAGTTTGAGGTCATTCTCAGAAATCATTATTTAAAAAAAACAAAAAAACAAACCAACAAGGGTCCACATGCAGACACCGGAGAGTGCAGATTGGGCGCGCTGCCTCGGGACCACCTTAGAGCAAACCCAAGGGCCCGCAAGAAGAACGCTGCCCAAGGCCAAGGGCCCTCTTCCACGCTTATCTGCTTAACCTAACACTCCAGGTCTTGGAACTTGAGCTCTTCGTGAGCAGTCACAGAGCATTATTCTTGATCTCATCCTGGAGAATCTGGCTCCTTAATGATAATAAACAACTTGAATTTCTATATCACCGAGTATCTACAAAACCTCAAAGCTAATTTGCATGTAAAATATCTTGTTGCTCCTCCAAAACAGCTCCTCAAAGGGCAAGAAAGGGCCAGTCGCTTCCTTTCGTTCACAGTTCAACAGCTAATGTGATGCGACGCCTTAAGATCAGCTCATGGTGTTAACTATCAGGAGGAAAGAAGCTGAAAGGCTAGCCTCCTAGAATTTCCCCAGTGACCTACATAGGGACTCGCTAAAGACCTCGCCGTGGTGAAGTCTTGATAGAAATTGGTTGAAAAGTCTCTGGTTTCCTACACACTGTCCAGTCCCATGGAACTGGAGACACAGATAGCGGCTGAGTGGCCGCTATCTCCGAAGGCCCTGCGGCCCGGCCCGCCAGGATGGCCCGGCACCTTGGCTGACAGCTGACGGATGAGGGTCACCGCTCTCCTCTCCCCGCTTCCCCTTGGTCCCCTCCAGCCACAGCTAATAGCACGGCGAGCGTTCATTTGTCTCCGGAAGATGAAGCGAAGTGCGGTGGCATTTCTTCTAAACATGGCTGAATTTTGTTTTTCTTCTCGAATCCTCCTCTTCCTTCCCTGGTCCCACAGGACGTTGCGCAGACCCCTCGAGGAGGCCTGGAAAACCTTCATTGCGCCAGTGAGCTGTGTTATGACACTCTGAGTCTCGCCATTAAGTCAATATTTAGAAGAGCAATTTAGAAATGGCAGGAGTTCAAGTCTTCCTGTCAGGTAGATAAAGCAGCAGACTGAAAAATTGATCAGTGGTGAGGAGTCCAAAACACCGCACCTCCAGTCCTGAGAAAGAGAATATTGTAAACAGACCCTTTATTACCCCACCCAGTGGTGCCATTGAGCTGTGCAGGGAGAAATGTGCCTCGGGACATGATCCCAGGCCCGAAATGGAATATTCCTTTGGGAAGGCCCAAAGAAACCGGCCAGGAACTGCATGACTAGGGCCTAGTAATGTTTTGCAAAGGGTAAGAGCTAACGATGTGTCCCTCACTGATTTTATTTTTATTTTTTAAAATATATTTTAGAGGGAAGGGGAGACGGAGAGAGAGATAGAATCATCAATGATGAGAGAGCATCATTGACCGGCTGCCTCCTGCACACCCCACACTGGGAATTGGGCCGCACCCTGGGCATGTGCCCTGACCAGGAATCGAACTGTGACATCTTGGTTCATAGGTTGACACTCCACCACTGAGCCATGCCAGCCAGGCTCCCTCACTGATGTTATTCCTCTGCCCTGTCCTTGTGCTGTGAGGTCCAAGGAATTTCATTGAGGGGGAGAAGGAAGAGGCTCCGTATTCACTTCACGTGGAGAGTAACCCAAAGCAGAAGGGCGCTTTTTTCGGACCACACAGTGGTGGTGGTTTTTAAGTTCATTCTTATGGCTATCATGAAATACAAAAAAGGAACAAAAAATAGAAAGCTTTTAGGAGCCTGTGGCTCAGACTCTTTGGAGTGAGAGCCTAAAGAATCTAAGTTCCACTTTGTTCCGCATGCATTTTGCAGTGTTAACTCCCTATAGCCTCGCAATCAGGAGGACGTGAAGGCAATCCTCCGTGTGGCTCTGGGTTGGGACTGGGTGCGGTCTGGGCCCTTCTACTGGCCTCTTCCTGTCCTGAGCAGGTGTTCAGATGAATAAGACACCTTCTATGTGGGGGAAAGACACACTTCTTCCTCGCTTCCCCTCACCCACTTGCCAGAGGTGAGCTGGGTGGGGAGTTAACCATGGGTATCTGACTCAGCTTCTATCAAGTTTTAGTTGTTAAAAGCAAGGTGATTTCATCAGGATACGTAAGGAGGCACATATTGGCTATTGATCAGGAATTGTGGATTGCTCACAGCATCCTCTCCTTGTCTGCTGTGGTGGATCCCTGACAACCTTCAACTGGGCTGTACTTAGATGCAGACACTAAGGCTCAGGGAATAGTAGGAGCCCAGCATCAATCACACAAATGTGTGCATTAACATTATGGCCCAGCTGTTTGACTCTATGTATGTGACTTCAAACACTTGGATAACAAGTGGAATTTTTTTCAGGCAATATTTGACATTGCAAAGAAAAGGGATCCAAATTTTCACTAAATGTTCCAATAACATCCCCAATTTGTCATTAGAGTTTACGATGTATGTAATTTTAGAACTGGGAGAGGCCTTAGTATGTAGTTTGCTGGTTCCTACACTCTTTGGGAAATGGATAAAAACTATGGATTCTCTTTCCAGATCAACACACCCATACATACTACACTCACAATTTTGTGCTCATGGAATACAAGAGACCACAATGTTGAGGATTCCGAATGGTTTTCCATGGCAACATTTGTCTCTATAATATCTAGATTTGATATATTTTTAAAAAATATATTTTATTGATTTTTTACAGAGAGGAAGAGAGAGGGATAGAGAGTTAGGAACATCGATGAGAGAGAAACATCGATCAGCTGCCTCCTGCACACCTCCTACTGGGGATGTGCCTGCAACCAAGGTACATGCCATTGACTGGGATCGAACCTGGAACCTTTCAGTCCGCAGGCCGACGCTCTATCCACTGAGCCAAACCGGTTACAGCTAGATTTGACATTTTAAATGCAATGCAAACATGTGTTAAAAACTCACCAAAGTATCCAATGAAACACAAGCTCTTGTCATTAATGATGTCTGGCAAGAGTAGGCGTGGGTCAAAATTCTCTAAGACTCTTTGGGTTGAATTCACCTTGAATTACTTCCTTTGTGTGTTGGTAACTTTGGTAAAACTTCATCACTAAGGTTGTCTGTGTCAGCAAGAAAAAGATGACAAATTCGCATTTCGAGTTGAGGTCTTCCCAAAGAAGTGATTTTCAGAAGCAGGATTTCTAGGCGTCAACCATTTAATAGTCTTGTTTTTTTATTGATGTTCCCCTTTCCAACCCCCCTCCACTTTTCCCCTCCACCCAGTCCCCCCTTCCCCAAGCCCTTGCTACATTATTGTCTGTGTCCATAGGCTATGCTTAGATGCATATATGTTCTTTGGTTAATCTCTTCCTACCCTTTCCTCCCTCTGAGATCTGCTATCTGTCTGTTCCATGCATCCATGTCTCTGGACCTATTTTGTCAGTTTATTGTGTTAGATTTCACATATAAGTGAGATCATGTGATATTTGTCTTTCTCTGACTGGCTTATTTTGCTTAACATGATAATCTCCAGGTCCATACCTGCTGTTGCAAAGGGTAAGAGACCCTTCCTTTTTCACAGCTGCGTAGTATTCCATTGTGTAAATGTGCCACAGCTTTTTTATTCA